TGGATAGCTGTATGTTGGCATCTGATGAGGGGTGTGTTTCTTGGAACTGAAGTGTAGCTGTATGTTAGCATCTGATAGAAATGTGTTTCTGGGAACTGAAGTGTAGCTGTATGTTGGTATCTGATGAGGGATGTGTTTCTGGGAACTGAAGTGTAGCTGTATGTTGGCATCTGATGAGGGATGTGTTTCTGGGAACTGAAGTGTAGCTGTATGTTAGCATCTGGTAGGGTTGTGTTTCTGGGAACTGAAGTGTAGCTGTATCTTGTCATCTGATGAGGGGTGTGTTTCCTGGAACTGTAGTGTAGCTGTATGTTAGCATCTGATGAGGGATGTGTGTCTAGGGGCTGTGAGGGATAGCTGTATGTTGGCACTTGATGAGGAGTGTGTTTCTCGGAATTGAAGTGCAGCTGTATGTTAGCATCTGATAGGGTTGTGTTTCTGGGAACTGAAGTGTAGCTGTATGTTAGCATCTGATAGAAATGTGTTTCTGGGAACTGAAGTGTAGCTGTATGTTGGTATCTGATGAGGGATGTGTTTCTGGGAACTGAAGTGTAGCTGTATGTTAGCATCTGATAGGGTTGTGTTTCTGGGAACTGAAGTGTAGCTTTATGTTGGCATCTGATGGGTATGTGTGTCTGGGGCATTGAGGTGCAGCTGTATGTTAGCATCTGATGGGCATGTGTGTCTAGAGGCTGTGAGATGTAGCTGTATGTTAGCATCTGATGGGCATGTGTGTCTACGGGCTGTGAGATGTGTACCTGTATGTTAGCACCTGATGGGGATGTGTGTCTAGGGCTGCGACGTGTAGCTATATGTTGTCATCTGATGAGGGATGTGTTTCTAGGGAACGGAAGTGTAGCTGTATGCTGGTATCTGATGAGGGGTGTGTTTTCTGGGAATTGAAGTGTAGCTGTATGTTAGCATCTGATGAGGGATGTGTTTCTGGGAACTGAAGTGTAGCTGTATGTTGGCATCTGATAAGGGATGTGTTTCTGGGAACTGAAGTGTAGCTGTATGTTGGCATCTGATGAGGGATGTGTTTCTGGGAACTGAAGTGTAGCTGTATGTTAGCATCTGATGAGGGATGTGTTTCTGGGAACTGAAGTGTAGCTGTATGTTGGCATCTGATGAGGGATGTGTTTCTGGGTACTGAAGTGTAACTGTATGTTGGCATCTGATGAGGGATGTGTTTCTGGGAACTGAAGTGTAGCTGTATGTTAGCATCTGGTAGGGTTGTGTTTCTGGGAACTGAAGTGTAGCCGTATGTTGGCATCTGGTGGGGTGTGTGTTTTGGGGAACTGAAGTGTAGCTGTATGTTGGCATCTGATAGGGTTGTGTTTCTGGGAACTGAAGTGTAGCTGTATGTTGGCATCTGATGAGGGATGTGTTTCTGGGAACTGAAGTGCAGCTGTATGTTGTCATTTGATGAGGGTTGTGTTTCTGGGAACTGAAGTGTAGCTGTATGTTGGCATCTGATGATGGATGTGTGTCTGGGAACTGAAGTGTAGCTGTATGTTAGCATCTGATAGGGTTGTGTTTCTGGTGTCTATACTCTGTTGTCCATGAAGAGTTGACTTGTTACTCTGTAGATTTCTAATTTATCACATGAGTACAATGTTTGATGACTTTGTAACAGGAATATTTCTAAATAAAATGGCATAAAGTCTTTCACTGTAGTTCCACAACTATAATTTTGAAAAGGGATGTCTTATCTCTGTTGCTAATGATCATTAATAGAGCTGGTGTTTGCTATAAAGGCAAGATTTCGTTGATGTCAGCAAATCAGTAAGTGAATTTTCTAGGACCACTTAGCATATTGTATCTTAAAGGTTGAAGACTGGTCATTTCCACGTGGAAAGCATTCAGTCATATAGGCAGCCAGACATTTCGTGTATGTTTTCTCTGTTGAAATGCTCCATGGGTTGCATTCAGCCACATAGGCAATCAGACATTTGAAAGTTTGGTTTTAAATTTCAGAGATGAAAGTATGACATGAAATGTAGAAAAAGGAAAGCATAGAGTAAAACACTTAACACAAAAACACTTTCACATCAACACGTGTGATTCAGGTCAGCATAGCATTCACCTGAACTGTTCACCCAGATGATCCTCTCTCAGGCCAGGGACAGAAGGAGGTTAAAGTCCGAGAGGAGGCCAAGTTCTTCATTGATGGATCCCAGGCTGACAGAGGTACTCACAGTGCTGAACATTCAGTGTACCACATGTAGACAATAGGGCTGGTACGGGTAACCCATATACCCGGGTCGGGTGGGTAATGAGTTGGACCCGGGTACCCGTCTCAGTACTCGGACCCGTTATTATCATGTGACTAATATATTAAACAATGCGATATGTTACTCTTTCATGATCAATAGGTTTTATTGTCTTTGAAGATTTAGATGTAATTAACAATCATTTATCTTGAATATAATACATGGTTAAGATATTGAAAACCTTAAAACTCTAGCCTCCGACCTGAAGAATTTCTTACCATTTCTTGCAAATTTGACGTCAGGAATTAACATAACGAGTAACCGGGTAGGGTAGAAAATTTGGACCCGTCCCAGCCCTAGGAGACAAGTCCGAGTACCCTAGTATGACTAAAACAGTGTAGTGTTAAAGGGAGACTGGGCTTGTGCCAGTATAAGGGTCGAGCCAGCTGGAGCCTGTTTTCAAGCTCACACTATAATGTATATCGATCTTGCAGTTAATGACGATCATAACTGAGACTTGTAACAAGTCCTGGACTGTGATCCTCTTTCAGATGATTTTCTCAACCCTTGTTCATTTCAAGACATCATTATATGTTTTACAAGGAATGCTTGGTTGTCAAGTGTTTTTGTTTTAATCTCAGAAATCATGAATTTTAGTCTTACATTTTGAATGAATATCTCTTCAGTCTGTCCTATTGTCATGCTTTGTTGTGCAATGAATATCAGCTCCGTTTCTGAGGAGTGTTTTGTAGGTGAGACTCAGGTCCAGCTTACAGGTGTGAGGGTCAGAGGTCAACGTCATTATGTCGCCACTTGATGGTGGCAAGTCCAGATGTGAGAGTGAGTGAGTTTAGTTTTACGGCGCTTTTAGCAATATCCCAGCAATATCACGGCGGGGACACCAGAAATGGAATACACACATTGAATCCGCATGGGGAATCGAACCCGGGTCTTCGGAGTGAGGAGCAAACGCTTTAACCACTAGGCTACCCCACCGTCACTTCACATGTACAGATGTGCAAGTGTAGATGAGATATCTCCCTACAGTACCTGGACTTTGTGTTTATATGTCGTATGACAGTCTTTATCACCATCACGTGGTACCGGCATATCACCTATATAACAAGGAAGCCGAACCTCCAGGTAGGTGTGTGCTGTACCGTCGCGACATATTCCAGTAAAGCTGTCTTGACAAGATATATTTTACAGGAAGATCTGCGAAACATATACGTGAGTATCGTAGATTATGTAATATCTATGTTCGCCTTGATTTACACAATCAGTTTTACACAATCAAGTTTACACAATCAGGCGTCAGGACAAACAGGTAAACCCTTCATTGTCACTCCCACCTCAGACTCAATTCCTGGAAGTGTGTTGTGTGTGATGCATATGATATTGTACTTACAAACAAGGAACTACTCTACCTAACGTTGTGACAGTGAATCGGGGTGTTAATTGTCAGGATATTAGGGTTAGATAGATCCTGTTTCTTCCCTATAAACATCAAGCTTTCGGAAGGTTCCAGACTTTGACAGCAGAACGACATCTTGAGGTGTACAATATCGTCGATTGTAGTGCATGAAGTGGGCGTTACTGTCGTCACGTGACATGCAGGATATGTCATCTTAGAGACGTAACTGTAACTGTGGATCGGTGAGACAGATCTCTACATTCAGCGTCTGTGTAGTCGGGAATGTACATCCAGGAACAAGAGTTGCGGGTGGATATATAGTTAGTGGTTTTAGGGGATCATTGTGGGGCTAAAAGTAATGTGGTATGGTCGTTTGTGTGTGCCCGTACCGCCACATCATTCCGGTTACATCTCCTTCCACCCTTCCGTCTCTCCACTCCATGTGTTCTCTCCTTGTGTGTGTTCCATCTGCGTCCTCCATACCTCACTGTTCTCCATTCCTTCTACCGTGTCCTCCAGTGCTCGGTTCCTCTGTCTCCACCTCTCCGTGTCTCCACCGTCTCTCCTGTGGTGCCACCTCTCACCGTCCACTTGCTCTCCCTCACCGTTCCACTGCCTGGGCAGTGCCTCTCACCGTTCCATGCTCCACCGGTGCCTCCACTGTGCCTCACCGTTCCATGCAGTGCCTCCATGCCTCTCCACGTGCCGTTCCACTGTGCCTCTCCATGCTGTGCCACTCCTGTCTTGTCCATTCTCCTCGGTCCTCCATCCTCCTGTCTACCATTTTCCTTGGCCGTGCCTCTCCACTCTTCCTGTGCCTCCGTTCCGTTCCAGCTCTGGGATCTTGCTCAATACATCCTCTCTCTTCATCCACTCCTCCCCTCCATCCCTCCTCCTTTTCCTCTCACCATTCCTCCTGTGCCACCTCTGTCCACTCTCCTCCTTGGTGCCTCTTTCCATTCCTCTCCTCCTTTTCTTTCCGTTTCCTCTCCATTCCCCTCTCCTCTTCCGTTTCCATTCCACCTCCATGTCCCTGTGCCGTCTGCTCCACCTCACCGTTCCTTTCCTCACCGTTCTCCACTGTGTCTCGTTTCCTGTCTCGTTCCTGCTCCTGCCAGTTCCTTGCTCACCGTCTTGTCCTTCTTGATCATTTTCCTCTTCCGTTCTCCTCGTTCCTCCTCCTTCCTGTCCCTCCTCCTCCTGCCTGTCCTCCTCCTGTTTCCTTCTGTCCTTCATTCACTGTTCCATTCTATGTCCTCCTTGGTCTCTCTTTTCTCTGTCCTTTGTGCAGACCTCCTCCCTCCTCCCGGTCCTCCACCTCTGTCTCATTTTCCTGTCCTCCTCCCGGTCTCTCCACTCTGTCTACAGTGTCCTCACCTCCCGGTCTGTCCGTCTCTGTCCTGTGCACTCTCCCTCTCTCGTCTCCACTCTTGTGTGTCTCCACCTCTGTCCTTGTCTTGTCCTCCCGGTCTGTCCTGTTTTCCTCCCCGGTCTCCCCGTTTCCTTCTGGGTCCTCCGGTCCTCTCCTTGTGTTCCTCCGTGCCACTCTCCTCCTCCTGGTGTCTCCTTCTCTCTTGTCCTGGGTCCTCACGGTCCACTCCACTCCTCTGTCCCTTCCGGTGCCGTCTCTCGGTCTCTCCGGTCTCTCCACCTCTCTGTCCTGTCTGGTCTCTCCACCCTCCCGGTCCCTCTCCACTCCCTGTCCACCTGTCCTGTCCTCTGCGTCCTCCCGGTCTCTCCTCCCTCTCTGACCTCCTGTCTCCGTCCTCTCCTCCTCCCGGTCTCCACCTTCCTCTGTCCTGGTTCGTCCTTTCTCCTCCTCCCGGTCCCTCCACCCTGTCCTCCATCTCAGTCCTCCGTCTCCCTGTCCTCCTGTTCCTCCTCCCGGTCTCCACTCTGTCCGGTTCCTCTCTCCTCCCGGTCTCTCCAGTCCTCCTGTCCTGGGTGCCTCCCCTCCCTCCACCCAGTCTCTCCTCTGTCTCCCTCCGGTCCTCCACTCCTTTCATGCCTCCGTCTCCTCTGTCCTCCTCTGTCCTGTTCCTCCTCCGGTCCTCACTCCTCTGTCCTGCGGTTTCTCCTCCGGTCTCCACCCTCCTCCCATCCTGCGTCCTCCTTGGCCCTCAGCCTCCCGGTCTCCTCCTCTGTCTGTCCTCCTCTCCCGGTCCTCTGTCCTCCTCCGTTTCCTCTCCCTCCGGTCTCTCCACTCTCTGTCCACTGTTTTCCTCCCTCCCGGTCTCCACCCTCTGTCCGTTGTTCTCCTCCCTCCGGTCCTCCTCTGTGCCACTCCTGGTCCTGCCTCTCCTCCCGGTCTCTCCACCTCTGTGCCTGACCTCCGGTCTCCTCCTCTGTCCTCCTGGTATCGCCCTCCGGTCTCTCTCCACTCTCTGTCCTGGTGCCTCCCACTCCCGGTCTCCACTCTCCTCCCGGTTTATCCGGTCTCCGTCCTCCTCCGGTCTCCTGTCCTGGTCCTCCGGTCTCCCACTGTCCGGTCTGTCCTCCCGGTCTCCACCCTCTCTCCGCCAGCTCCTCCCGGTCTCTCCACCTCCCGGTCTCTCCGGTGCCTCCACGGTCTCCTCCCTCTGTCCTGCGTTCTCCTCCGGTCTCCACTCTGTCCATTCGACCTGTCCACCTCCTGGTCTGTCCTTTCCCGTCGTCCTCCCTCCTCCCGGTCCTCCACGGTCCTCCTCCGGTCTCCTCCTCCCTGTCTCTCCACTCTGTGTCTCTCTGTTGTTGCCTCTCCGGTCCTGTCTCTCTGTCCTCGTTCCTCCGGTCTCGGTCCTCTCTCCTTCCTCCGGTCCTCCGCCACCTGGTCTCTCCCTCCTCCGTCTCCACTCCTGGTCTCCGGGTCTGTCCCTCCGGTCTGTCCCGGTTTCCGTCTCTCCGGTCTCTCCATTCCTCTGTCCCTCCTGGTGCCGGCCTCTCCACTCCTCCCGGTCTCTGTCTCTGTCTTCTGTCCATCCTCTCCTCTTCTGGGTCTCTCTCCTCCTGGTCTCCTTCCTCTCTCCTCCTGGTCTCTGTCTCTGGTCCTCCGGGTCCTCCTGGCCGTCTCTCCTCTCCTCCGTCTCTCCCACCTCTCTTTTCCACCGTTTTCCTCCGATCCGGTCTCTCCTCTGTCCACCTGTCTTCCTCCTCCTGGGTCTCCACCCTCTTGTCCTCTGGGTCCCAGTCTCTCCTCTCTCTGTCCACTGTCCACCCTCTCCTCCTCTCCTCTCCACTCCACCGTCTCTCCTCGGTCTCTTGCCCTCCTCTCCTCCGGTCTCTCCACTCTCTGTCCTGTCACCGGTACCTCCTCTCCTCCTCTCAGTCTCTCCACCCTCTGTCCTACTGGTTTTCCTCCCTCTCTCTCCCACCCTCTCCTATCCGGTTCTCCTCTCTCCCTCCGCTCTCCTCGCCTCTGTCCTACTGGAAATCCTCTCTCCTGCCAGTTCATCCACCCTCTGTCCTCTTCCGGTAACCACATCTCTCTTCCTGTCCTCTCTTCTCCAGTCTCCACTGGTAACCGCCCTCTCTCCTGCCTCTATCCACCGTCTCTGTCCTCCTCAGTTCGCCTTCCTCCTCCCTGATTCCCCTGGTACCAGTAACCACATCTCTCTCCTCCTCTCTTTCACCCTCCTACCGTACCCACATCTCTCCCCTCTCCTCACCCTCCTGCCAGTACCCACATCTCTCTCCTCCACCCTCCTATCCTTACATCTCTCCTCCCTCACCCCTCCTACCAGGTCCCACATCTCTCTCCTCCTTCCTGTACCCGTGCCACATTTCTCTCTCCTCTTCACCCTCCTACCAGTACCCACATCTCTCTCCTCCTCTCTTCACCCTCCTACCAGTACCCACATTTCTCTCCTCCTCACTTCACCCTCCTACCAGTGCCCACATTTCTCTCCTCCTCTCTTCACCCTCCTACCAGTACCACATCTCTCTCCTCCCCGCACCAGCCTCCAACCAGTACCCACATCTCTCTCCTCCTCCCTTCGCCCTCCTACCAGTACCCACATTTCTCTCCTCCTCTCTTCACCCTCCTACCAGTACCACATCTCTCTCCTCCCCTCTTCACCCTCCTACCAGTACCCACATCTCTCTCCTACCCGCTTCACCCTCCTACCAGCACCCACAACTTCGTCGTCCCCACTTCAGCCTCCCACCAGTACCCACATCTCTCTCCTCTTCACTTCAGCCTCCTACCAGTACCCACATCTCTCTTCTCTTCTCGCCACCCTCCTGCAAGTACCCACGTCTTCCTCCTCCCCAGCTCTCCATCCAACACGTACCCGCCTCTCCCTCCAACACATAATCGCCTCTGCTTCCTCACCGCTTCTCCCTCCTACCAGAACTCACATCTCCCTTCTTCCCAGTGCTCCCTCCACCCTGCTCTCTCCCATGTAATCAGTCGGGTAAGAATAATTAGAGTACTGGACCTTCTTCCCACAGTACTATGACTTAATATTCACAAGGCGCGTGTGTCCCTAACTCCATTCCATTAGGACTAAACTCGCTCATAAGCCTGTAACCCGGAAGTTACCTGTACAACAAGGAAGTCGAACGACAAGCAGGTGAATACTGTACTGTCTCGACATGTTCCAGAAATTCCTTCTTGGTGTAGCTGTATTTGGTTAATTTTCAGCGCAATACATGTGTGAGTATAGTAATTATGTAATTTCTATGTCGACCTTCATTTAAGTGTTCACAATCAGGCGTCAGGGCAAACAGGTAAACCCTTCATTGTCACTCCCACCTCAGACGCCATTACTCGTGGTGTGTTGTACACGTAGCATGTTATATTGCACTTACAAAACAAGGACAACTCGACCTAACATTGCCACAGAGATACAGGGTGTTACTGGCATATATTAGAAATAGATACATTCCGTTCCTTTACAAGTATCAAACTGGCAGAGCCCAGTTGTGACTTGACAGCAGTCAAACTTGAGGTATGATATTATTGTGGATCGTTGTGCATGGGCGTTATCGTCATCAAGCTACAAGTAGGACAGGCTATTTTTAGGCGTTTAATGGTGCTTGTGATCACCGAGAGAGTTCTGTCATTGGGTGACTGCGGGTGGTCGGGTAGATAAAGGGGCACTGGTTCGGGGTGGATAAACAGTTGATGTTTCTAGCCAGCTCGAGGTGTGGGAAATACGGGTAGATTGAATAGTATATTGTGTCAGGTAGAACAAGTGGCGTAAGGGTAGCCTAATTGTTAAAGTGACTGCTCGTCATACTGATGACCAGGGTTCGATCACGGGTACAGTGTGTGAAGCGGCGTTAATCCATACTCACTCACTCATTGTATATTATTGGGTTGTGCTCAGTCCCAGGCGAGTTGTTAGGCGTGAGTTAGTACTGTTGTCTCTTTGTTGTAATTGATGTTATGCCTTTGGTGAACAGGGGTGTGTTGGCGGAGGTACCAGTCCTTGCACCTACAGCTAATTTAAGGGCAATTGTTAATGTATTTGTATTTGTTTGCTATTTATTGGAAAAGGGCAAATTCGTTGATGGACTCTGTCTGGAAGTTGAGGGACAAATAAGGTGAAGAAATATACAACTGATGAGCAAATAAAACAAATTAGCATTGAGCTTAGAGTAAATTAGGATGGAAACAAGCCATGCAAAAGTGGAAGAAAGATATGTTTGACTTGCGAGAGTCCGGTAGTTGATATTGTCTTGTATTCGTGACGAGGCCGTGTCGGTGTAGTTGTCGGTCCCAACTGTGTTCATGTATAAACTCACAACGCCGTTTAGAAAGTGAGCAGATGGAACCTGTACTATATTTGGGATTACACTTTATCAGGAAAGTACTGATTCTAGTACTGAGGTTAAGTCCCATCCGAGATTCGAACCCACTCTCTTAGTGTGAGAGTTAGAGTCTCTAATCCTGCCTTAGCGGACCCATCTGTTTGAATGACTTAATGGATATGATAGAGCGGTGGGTAGCCAAGTGGGTAAAGCGTTCTCTCGTCTCGTCAAGGTCTGGGTTCGATCACCACATGGGAACAATATGTGAAGCCCATTCCTGGTTTCGCCCGCAGTGATATTGCTGGAATATTGCTAAACCCCAATTCAGTTACTTACTCACTCACTCAATAATGGATATAGTAAACTATGTCTAAGATTGGGGTTTACAGGGTTGTTCTCTTCTAGTCCTCACAAGGGTTGTTGCCTCTTTTCCCTTCATTGATGTAGTGAAATGTGTTTGCCGGAGTTTTACTGAAAATCATACTTCATCATGGGGAAGTGCTATATTCCAACGCATATATTTTCTTCGAATTCGTTTGCCATTCTTGATAACATGTTCATATTATTTTATTGAAGTGAATTAGGACAATGATATGTTTGTTTCAGAATGGACTCCTTCCCCAAATGTGCTGTCTGTCAGCAGCAGTTTACCCTGAAGGGACCCGCCCCCCTACCTACTGCCCTGTCTACACGCTGTGTGTGAGACGTGTGTGACATCTGCAGCTGGTGGTGTGATATCATGCTCTACATGTCAGAGGGAGGTCAACCTCACAGACACAAGCCTCCAGAAGGATGCAGTGAGACAGAAGGAAATATTCCACCTGACGGTCAAACATCGCCCCACAGAGCTTCTCTGTACAAATGAAGATGACGACCAGGCTGTGTGTTGGTGTCCAGAATGTGAAGACTTCCTCTGTGAATACTGCCAGAACATGCACAACAGCGTTAAAGCTACCAGACGACATGTTGTTGAAACCATTGTGGACACAGCACCAGGAGGCATGCAGGCTGAACCAGTTTGCAAACTTCACAAGCGTTATCCTCTGGAATATTTTGACAAAAGCTGCAACATTTTAATCTGTACGAAATGCAGACTTGGCGACCATGCTGAACACGACGTTGAAGATTTAGACGTAGCTTCTGACGCTGCTCAAGGGCGGATAGAACAACATGGGAAGAACCTGACTGCACAGCATACTTCTCACCAAGCATATTTGAAGAGTATCAGCAAAGCCGTGAATGACACCAAGAAGACAAGCAGCGCTGTGGAGGAGACCATCCACCACACTTTCCATTCTCTGAGGACACAACTCGATCAAAGAGAGAAGGAACTGATCATCGATCTTGACAATCAGACGAAGCAGAAACTGTCAAATCTACACATTGAACAAGTTACCTCTGAAGGCGAGAGTGAACGATGCAAGTGGACCTCAGACTACATCAAGACAGTTCTCAGATATGCTTCGAACTCGGACTTTCTGACGCTCGAGAGTTCAATACAAGAAACAACGAAGACTTACCTCAGATCAGTTCCACCAGAGCTGCACCGTTCACCTGCAGCCGTCTTCAACATGAGAGGACTGGAAAAATTGAAATCCGACATTTCTAAGTTTGGGTCTCTCGTTGGAGATGGATCAGCATCTGATGAACACACACTGAGGGGTACTTACTTCTGACTCAATATGTCTCACATTTGATTTTTCTTTCAGTATTTCCTAGCATACTGTCAAGTATTTCTTATCAGGCTTTGTCAGAAAAAAAATGATAGCTTGTTGATGTTTCTCTTGACCATTCATTTAATTTGATTTTAAGATGGTGAGCTGATGCTAGTTCTATTCCTTTCTAAAAAAGACTCGGTGAAACATAAAATGATCGATCTGTAACAATTGTTGGTTATTTTACAGACAGAGGTACACAGACAGATGACATCCATCTACCTGACCTTGAGAACACACTCAAGCATGTAAGTACTTCTTAGTAAGCATACGTATATACGTCTCGTTGTCTCTGAGGTAATAATTATTGTCACCTGCGTACATATAATGTTCATATTGAACTTATGCTTGTATGTTAGAAGTGAAACAAGCCTACTGTTTTGTGAATCTTCGATTGCGACATTGAAATACTTCCTTTTGTTTCAAGTTGAAGCTTCCAGAGGCCTCTAAGGATCCAACACCACTACCACAGTTTGGTGAGGTTATTTTCCTTTATTTTGCAAAACGTAAGAATGGAAAATAGCGTTACTGTATGTGTCCCTTTACTTTTCATGCCATAATATCAGAAGCACATACTTCTAACTCCTGTATGATTTAAACAGAAATAGTTATGAATGGGCAGAAGATGGACCCATAAGCTATTTATCCAAAGGATAGCTTAGTGATTAATATTTGAACAGATCTTGGTCTTTTCATGTTGAGATGATACTGTGATACTTGTACACTTAAGGGCAAAAATCTGATACGTTATCAATACCCGTTTCTAATGGACAGAAGCTGAGGCTAAACAATGTTGAAATGTGACTTTACTGACATTACAGGGACCCAGGTCTGTCTTAGCCGATACTTTGTTGTGTACAAAGGTGGAGTACCTCTCATTTTGAAACAAAGAAAGTCCCAAATATCGAAGTTACTGTTATGTCCTAATGTGTATGAGCACGGCTATTTTTGTTCTTCATGCTAGAGAATATTTTGCAGATGCGGGGACGAACACCTACAGTCTGGAATCAGGAACAGTGACCACGTTGACTCTGCAGTGTGAGTATAATCAGTTGCTTGCTTGGTGATGCTGAAACACCGATAGGTTACTGGATGAAGCGCTCTTTCCTGACGTGTGACGATGCTGTCAAGGTTTGCTGCTGAAACCCTATGACAGTGTGGACCTTGTGTACCATTGGAATCCGACAGGGGTATTGTTTTAGTGATCCCCATCTTCTGAACAACGAATATGGTACTGGGTGTATTCAGGTTTCCGTGTCTTCTGAACAAAGGATATGGTACTGGGTGTATTCAGGTTTCCGTAGCTTCTGACCACAGGCTGTGGTACTGGATTTGGTCTTAAGGTTTGATCGTTAGACCACAGACTGTATTAGATGTCGTGATGGTGCCCGCCCTTTAAACACTCATGATAGTGCTCGGTGTAGTGATGTCCTCCTTTAAACACTCATTATAGCGCTGGGTGTAGTGATGCCCGCCTTTAAACACTCATTATAGCGCTCGGTGTAGTGATGCCCGCCTTTAAACACTCATTATAGCGCTGGGTGTAGTGATGCCCGCCTTTAAACACTCATTATAGCGCTGGGTGTAGTGATGTCCTCCTTTAAACACTCATTATAGCGCTGGGTGTATTGATGTCCTCCTTTAAACACTCATTATAGCGCTGGGTGTGGTGATCGCCACCTTTAAACACTCATTATAGCGCTGGGTGTAGTGATGTCCGCCTTTAAACACTCATTATAGCGCTGGGTGTGGTGATGTCCGCCTTTAAACACTCATTATAGCGCTGGGTGTAGTGATGTCTGCCTTTAAACACTCATTATAGCGCTGGGTGTAGTGATGTCCTGCTTTAAACACTCATTATAGCGCTGGGTGTGGTGATGTCCGCCTTTAAACACTCATTATAGCGCTGGGTGTAGTGATGTCCTGCTTTAAACACTCATTATAGCGCTGGGTGTGGTGATGTCCGCCTTTAAACACTCATTATAGCGCTAGGTGCAGTGATGTCTGCCTTTAAACACTCATTATAGCGCTAGGTGTGGTGATGTCCGCCTTTAAACACTCATTATAGCGCTGGGTGTGGTGATGTCCGCCTTTAAACACTCATTATAGCGCTGGGTGTAGTGATGTCCTGCTTTAAACACTCATTATAGCGCTGGGTGTGGTGATGTCCGCCTTTAAACACTCATTATAGCGCTAGGTGCAGTGATGTCTGCCTTTAAACACTCATTATAGCGCTAGGTGTGGTGATGTCCGCCTTTAAACACTCATTATAGCGCTGGGTGTGGTGATGTCCGCCTTTAAACACTCATTATAGCGCTGGGTGTAGTGATGTCTGCCTTTAAACACTCATTATAGCGCTGGGTGTAGTGATGTCCTGCTTTAAACACTCATTATAGCGCTGGGTGTGGTGATGTCCGCCTTTAAACACTCATTATAGCGCTGGGTGCAGTGATGTCTGCCTTTAAACACTCATTATAGCGCTAGGTGTGGTGATGTCCGCCTTTAAACACTCATTATAGCGCTGGGTGTGGTGATGTCCGCCTTTAAACACTCATTATAGCGCTGGGTGTAGTGATGTCCGCCTTTTAACACAATATATGGTACTGGATGTTACGGTCTTGCTTGTTCTTTAAACAAAGGACACGTTACTTGGTGTAGTGATATCCAGCCTGGTTTATATAGGGGGTTCTGTGGTACTATGTTTTACTATTTAATTTCGTTTTAACACCGGAGTGAGTGAGGTTAGTTTTACGCCGCACTCAGCAATATTCCAGTTATATGGTGGCGGTCTGTAAATAATCGAGCCTGGACCTGTCAATCCAGTGATCAACAGCTTGAGCATCGATCTACGCAACTTGGATACGAGTTGTGTCAACCAGGTAAGAGAGCTTGACCATCCGATCCCGTCTGCTGCCTCTTACGACAAATATTGTTCACACTTGTGGGAAAACCAAAGGGTACATATTATAGTGTTGAAAATAGGGAGAATCTTAGAGAACAACTCTACACAGGGCGGGGCCACAAACCACAAAATGAAGTCTTGGATGCAAAATACTATCAAGTTTTATGACATGCTCAACTGAATTCCTTATGTGTATATTTTTAAATGAAGAATTATATAGTCATTTCTTAATTTTAACAAGCAAAACATCTCAGTGATCAGCAAACTTATAATATAAAACAAGCAAAATTCCACCTATATGGTAGCGGTCTGTAAATAATCGAGTCTGGGCCAGAAAATCTTGTGATCAGCAGCATGAGTATCGATTTACGCCATCGGAATACTATGACATGTGTCAACTAAGTCAGCAAGTCTGACCACCCAATCCCGTTAGTCGCCTGTTACGACAAGCATGGGGTATTATCAATTCTAACCCGGATCTTCACGGGTGTGTAAGCACTGGACATGGTGTTACACGCCCTTTAAACAATAGGCATGCCACCGGTTCTAGTTTTTGGTAAGCCTGTGCAGTTTTATCGTCATGAGTTTTGGGGTGAAGAATTATTGGCTTTGAATATTGAGAGTTTTAACGTCTTGTCATTTCCGATACTGTTTCTAGAAGATGTAACTTCCGTATGTATCAACAGAATCCATATTCCCCTATATCATTCCAAAGCCTGGGACGTATCGTTATAGACAGTGAACCATCAGCTGGAGGAAGCATGGAGTCTAAAATTACATGTGTTTATTTTGTGTTGGCGCTTAGAGTAGGTGGTAAATATATATTTGTAACTGAAGCTAGGACTATGGACCTCCACTAGGGTTTTGCCGAGGTGACCACTGAAGGTTAGCCAGACTGGGCGTCACGGAAGACATGGGATGTAATATGAATGTGTCTACAATGGGTCCGCCGAAATGCGTGTTTACTCAAGGAGATGTGTATTCGCAGCGATTGACTTATATGAATAGATGTACTTGACTTATCTGACCCACAGAAATTCAGTGTACTTGTAGGGACTCCAGTTGGAATTTGCCCCAAAACTATTACCAATTTAAAAGGGGCGTCATATGGATGTGCAATCAAAGCCGACGCACACTGAGGGGTCACACCTGGTTCTCACTAACTTGATCTGACTGGTCTACTGTCCGTTGTATGATAATGTCTAAACCAAGGCCCTAAATCACCACAAATTTGTTTCATTATCTTTGTTAACATTTAGAACAAATTCTTGGCTTTTTGTTTGTGTAAAGAAATAACCCATTGTTGTCGGTTTGTGTCAATCAGTGAGATGAAAAGTCTAACGTTATAACAGGAAGATCTAGAGGTTTGATGAGCTGTAATAAATATTATACTTTAGAAACATTTATACTTTTGCGAAAATCGCTTTCATATAATAAATGGAGGTCATTTCAGATCGACCTAAAGCAGATATTTCAATTTAGTTTTGAGAAACTAAACTGAAATACTTGATAGTTATTAAAGGGTGAGAGTTTATACACATATAAGGATATTGACTTAAATGAGCATAACACAGACTAAAAGATGATTGACGACAGTTAAACTATTTGCATATGAGAATAAACGTTTTTCATATCACAAATGTTCGCCCATTAATTAAAAGTCAAATACCTGTGATAATGATCGGCCAGGTTGTCAGTCCTCCCGGTGATATTATATTTGATTCTTTTCTTTGAAAAATCTGGAAACAGACCTCCTTGACATATACGAAATTGATAGAATTCAAACCCATCTTTAATAATACTTCCATCTGTCCCAGCCAATACACATGACTCGACCACCTCCCACACAGCGAGTGTGTTTGAAACTGGGCACAGTGATTGAAGCGGACGTAGAAGTTACCTATTGACACTGTGTCTGGTGAACACTCAGATGTAAAAATATCATCAAACAACTGCTTTTTATATCTTATTGTTTAGTAAACTGTATAAGAAGAGTTTAGAATACCAACAATAATAGTTTATCGTCATGAAATGATTTTTATACACATGGGTTTTCATACGGAAATGTCTATTTCTGACTACTGACAACAAACCAGCTCAACTGACAGTGTCTGACAAAATGTTTCATGGAGTGTTTATTTCAGTGTCAGTCAATATTAAACTGTATGAAAAACATTTAGAATACCCATACAAATATTTTTCACAGTATAATTGTGTGTATTTAAGTGACGAGTGGTGATACAATTCACACACAGGCGAAAATGGCGGCCGATCATTCAGTGCGCTGTTTTGTAAACATTGAAACAGGGTTGACAATAAACATGACTAATTTGTTGTCTGAAGTCGGGAAATTTGTTAAACTGTAAACAAAATGTATATTTCCAGGTCCTAAACAACTACAACTGAACGCTGCTCGAACCAACACAGACTGGTGCCACGTAACTACAGTCGGTCAGCTGGTGAACTCGCCGCCCGCCACACAACACACAGACACAGCGGCAGCAGGTTACGGACATATTGGGGGTACATGTGCCTCCACCCCCATCCCCTTCCTCCATCCCCTCTACTGTCACCCCTGTCCCACACACACACCCACGATACTGGGAGACACACTCTAGGAGTGGGTGTGGTGAGTGGGAAAGGAGTGGTGGGGTGGTTTTATCCTGGAGATGGGTGTGGTGGAGGAGAGCCAGGTAGACAGTATGTGGTGTGTGTTTCATTACCAGCACCGCTCCTGGTGTGTGTCAGTGTAGAGAGATGTTGCACACACCAGGGGAGTCTCTGTACCAGGGTGTGGCAGCAGGGGGAGGGGGGGAAGTGTTACAGTAACACAATGTCTGACACACGCGGCACACAGGCCACCCTCCACTACGGCGTTGTGCTGGATGTGGGGAGGGGGAGACTCGCCTTCATCGACCTCGACAGAGAGGTTGTATTAGCCAAGGTGGATGTTGAGTGGAGCGAGTCTCTTCTTCCCATGTTTGGTGTTGGGTCGCTAGATGTCTACACAGTCAACATGAAGGTGATAAGTGGGGCAGATATCACCATGACTGACACCAAGAAGTCACTTATCTATGACGCCTTGAATTAGACAATGAAATAAACATGACATTGTGTAAACTTGTAAGTGTGACTTATTTATTTCAACTGTCAAATGTAATTGTAGTGATTAGAGGCGGACGTATAAGTTGTCTGTCTATGTGCTGTTTGTTTGTGGACAAGAATGTAACGAAGTCAGTTAAATGTGTTGTTTTACTGCTTGACTGGAATCTCCTGTGTATAAGAAAGATTTTACATCCACACGCATGACTATTGTTATGATTATTATTCTGCAGTAGTTGACCAGTTTATCATACATTTCATACATGTCTGGGAAATATCACAATAAATAACTTCAGTCTAGTTCATCAAAGTTGTTTCAAATCATGAATTTATCGCCATGTTTCATTGTCTTCTCTGCTATGTAATACAAAATGTTTTAAAATCCCCACATGAATATTGTTTGAGGATAGGGAATTATTGTAGTTGTGAATCCACATACGCTACAGTTGATGTCAAAGTGAAGAAATATGATGAAAGTGATTATGAAGCGGACATAGAATGTCCCCGTTTACATGTTGACAGACGTATATTCAGAAATACAATCAAGTTAGCAGAATCTTTTGTTTTCCTAATTGGATTTGGATTCTGTTGTCACTAAAATGTATTTCAAATCCACACATGACTAGTTTATAGATTAACTGAAGCAGAAATGTCAGACTTAGAGGGTACTGGCTTCTTCCCGGTTAATCAAACTACTGTCCGCTAAAAGTTCATCAACTGCCATGGGTCGATTTATGCCGGATAAAAGTAGCTTCCGGAGTGTGACGTGAAAGTTAGGCTGCCGTCTGTAAGGACAGCGGAAATATGCTTGGACACATTATGTCTTCACATTTCTGAACAATGAAAAGTGGTCAAATGTAATCTATTTAATATTTGGGATTACATTTTCTCCGTTTCTTTGGGGGTTGGAGTCCCAAGTGGTATCGTTACTAAGGAGTAAACATGCATCCCTATATCGGTAGAGAATTACGTCAGATTCCGTATATAGATATAGATTTTGCAGTTTGACTCATGAGTGATAACAGTTTAGACAAGAGTCTAGAGAGAATGGCGTTTAGCCATAAGTTAGAAATATATCCGTCGTGAGAGACAGAACACAATCGAAAAATCAAAGAGGGAGAAGTAACCGAACGTTACTTACCGATACTTTTCCATCATAATAATATTCATGAGTGCTAGGACGGATACAGAGATTAACGAATCAAAACGATGAGTTGAAACGTATGTGATCAAGATCAGGCCGAGGCTCGAACCATATAAATAGACAGGTTGGGCACTGGGCGACTGGTGCGCTTTTAAAGTGACGGAAGCCAGTCCACGCTACCTCCCAGTCTCCCGTGTCAGTACGAGCCTACCCTAACTGTTGGTGAAGTTGTATTTAGAAATGGACTTAGACAGAGAAAAACTAACATGTGGGTATAACTTGGTGTTGCGTTTATCTATGAATGTATGTGTGCCAGAATGTAATGCCAGTTAGTTAGGTGTCCATGGCCTCCTCTCACAAAAACATAGATGATCAATAAGATTACTGAAACCACAAGTAGTAAGAAAACTATTAGTGGTAGGAGTTTACTAACACAAGACGCCAGTTACGACCAGTATTCATAGATTGACCATAGATCAATTAAAGGAGGGGTTAAAGGGCAACTGTTGATTTAAAATTATGTTGGTATGTGTGACGTTTTTTTTATAATAACTTTGAAGAGCATCCTAATTTAAGAATTTTGGAGGTGGGCCCGTAAAAGCATCCTTAGGGGACTTGGTCGCTTCGGTTTATTTCTTCGAGAGAATGGATTTACTTATGTTTATAAGAACCCTGGTTGTGTCCCTTGCAATATGAACCGCTATATATAGAAAAGATAGAGGCCATTAATCTGTCACCAGTGACAATTCCTGTGTCATAGGAAAATAGGACTCACTATTTACAAGTCCACGTCAACCCATAGAAGGCTTATCAAATACAAAAGACATTATTCCAGCTATATGGCGGTGATCTGTAAATAATCAAGTATGGGCCGAACAATCCAGTGATCAACAGCATGAGCATCGATCTACTCAATTGGGATATGACGATATGTGTTTACCATGTCAGCGGGGGTCTGACCACCGATCCCGTTACTCGGCTTTACGACAAGCATGGGTTGCTGAAGACCAGATTCTAACTTGGATCTTAACAGATCCGATTGTTTACTGTGACGTCACACAGCTGGAATATCCATGGTGCTGCGCAAACCCTCTTAGGCTTCCTGGGAACAGAATATTGAAGCTTCTGATGTTTCCGATTGTATTACACGTGAAAGTTGCTCTTTGTTTTGATATGTTATCATCGGTCATTGGTTGAATCAGTAACAGCCCTATTTTCAAAATCACTGATTCTCCATCTACTCGATAGATACAACATAACTTTATCTCTTACAAAACCTGAACTGTCTTCACACATATTTTTAACAAAGTGACAAGGTCACCGACCTGTATCCGTCTCGCTCACTTGCCTTGATATAATATAAAGGCTGTGTTAGCTCTGTTGTTGTTTTTGGTAACATCTACATAATCCCTGAGCGTACAGTCAGTATGTAAAGTTATGCATAAGTATTTTCAGTATCATGTCCAGTTAGCTCTGCTTGAGGCATCGGATAATATACCCTATGAACATGTTGTTATCTATTAGGAACATACAATGTCTGCAACAAGATTTCAGTCTGTATTCGCTCCCATATACACTGAGGCTTCTGCGTGAATCCCACGTTAATGAGTTTATGATGATGATGATGTTTTATATACAATTGTACATTGAAATGGTAACTGGAATGTATGGAATCAATGTTTGAAATGATATTACGTCAGCGCCAGGCAATAACCAGATTCGATGATCTGCCAACATTGATTCCATCGGCATATGAGGCAAAATATTAATAATAATTATATAAATGTCTTCGGAGTTCAATGCGACAAAGTAAAGTGGGTTTAGTTTTACGCCGCTTTTAGCAATATTCCAGCAATATCCTCCATCGGATAACACCAGAAATGGACTTCACATTGTACCCAATTAGGATATCAGACCCGGGTCTTCGGCGTGACGAGGCGTACCCTTTAACCACTAGTAGCTATCACAACCTCGACGACAAAAAGCATGTCCTAAGCTACAGGTAGTACCCATCCACTTACTCAATGTACATATACACATGGCCTTCAAACAATGGAGCCCAGAACAGGTGTTAAAATGTCAATGTATTCTACGTCCATGCTGGAATTACATTAAGACTTTCAACGAATGAATGATGGTGAGTGAGTTTGGTTTTACGCCACTTTTAACAATATTCCAGCAATATCGGGGCGGGAACACCAGAAAATGGAGCTCCACATTGTACCCATGTGAGTCGGACCAGTTCTTCGGCGTGACGGGCGAACCTTTTAACCACTAAACTGCTACACCACGCCCCACTTGAGATTATGAGGTCACATGAGGTGGAATACCCAGATCAAAAAGTATTAGTTCAAATGCCGTTTTATCAGACATTTGGGAGGTGGGATGCTTGGTCAGTTACAATTAATGATTGTCGATTCCCAACAAGGATGCCGTTTGTTGTACCTGATATTCCTGGAAAATTATGAAAACAGAACAAAACCATGCTTACTCTCTTATCTTCACTGACAATGTTGTACGCTTCTTCTGTTAGATGCTGATCTGGATCTGTTTTATTGTGCCTCTTTATCAAATGTCGAAACTGAGCATAACCAGCAACCATGGAGACAGCTGGTATGTGCAACAAATCTCGATTCCTGCATTGATGAGTCCCGTCCAAGGAGGTGCTGATACTACAAGAGGACACATCATCAGGGTGGAAATCAGAAGCCCCATGAAACAAGGGACAGAGTGAGTGAGAGAATGAATTTAGTTTTACACCGCGCTCAGCAATATTCCAGGTATATGGCGGTGGTCTGTAATTAATCGAAGCCTGGACCACACAATCCAGTGATCAACAGCATGAGCATCGATCTGCGCAATTGGGAACCGATGACATGTAATCAACCCAAGCCAGAGCCTGACCACCCGATCCCGTTGGTCGCCTCTCGACAAGCATGGATTACTGAAAGTACATTCTAACCTCTGGACCTGCACGGGTCAGGGACGAGATGGAGTCTACGATGATAGGAAGTGAGAAATGGTAATTTCTGATTTATCCTTCTCCACTTATGCGATTTCCAAGCAACATGGAGATCTCTATTTAATATATTTACCTTTTATGAACTTGTATGAAAAGAGATATAATGTTGTCCATTATTTGAGGGACAATTACGTCTTTATTAAACGTGAATATATATTGTATACACAATCAACAATGTTTACATACCTGCTGCGGCGATATAAAGGAGTCTCTATCGCTTACGTCGCATCATCTGAATACGGACTGTTCATCCCTAAAAGTTTGTCCTAATTTGAAAATGATTCTTGAATGCTTTCCACCTCATCATGATCAAATAACAAACTATGAAAATGTAGTCTCTATTGACGAGT